CAGTATATAGTACACCATGAGTGCAGGAAATGGCATCTATGTCATTCAATATTTTCTCCAGACCTCCCCCCCCACCCAGTGTGTCCTCCTCCAACATTACAAATAGTTCTGTTAACAATAAAATACTGTATGTAATAAGGATGTGAGGTCAATTTATAGTATTCCATATCATCTGAAAAAAWTACATCTGTTGGTAAATCTTTAACTCTTGCCATGACTTTGAATTTGTCATTTTTACAGCAGCATCATAAAATTTCTGTTATGGATTTTAGTTTTTGTTGTGTTGACGGTTTTCTAATGTCCTTGTGTGTCTTTGCTGGGCTGGGCACAGCAGGGACCCCCCAGGTGGAGCTGGACCCTGTACCTTTGTGTTAGTTGCAAARGCATTTTTAAAAATGAAGATTCAGAAGACTGGTGGTGCAGACATTCTGACATTTTGACAAATTTGGTTACTCCTGAACTGTATTTTGGTAACAATAATGTGAATCATTTTTGTGACCTTTTGAGTTTGACACCTTGCTGCCTACATTTACATTTTTGATGTGTAAAAACACCCACACCTCCTCTATTCAAGCAGCTGCACCAGAAATGCACTTTGCATTTTAGCAGATGACTCATACAATAAGTATCTAAAAATATATTGTGACTTTACCTGRCAAAGAAAAAAATAATAAAAAAGAAGAGAAGAGGAAGACCAGGAGGTTGGAGAACAGGCAGTTAGGTGATGCAGAAAGAGACACTTTACAAGACATTTTAAGAACAGGATAAAGGCTTTGGTGATGGTGAACATATAGATTTATCAGGAARGTAAAATAACTTTCTCCTTTTTTAATTTGTGTAAGATTCGTACACAAGTCAACATGTGCACGACAACATTTAGTTTAATGTCTGAAATAACTCCATACTTGAATACTGAAAGAATCTGTTTTATTTAAATTTGTTTTAAATGTATAAAAGTATACATTTTTATGAGTGCTTCAATAAAAGTGAGAAAAATCAGAACTGGGTTCGCC